AAATCCTGGAGGAGGCCATAAACCATGACTGTGTTAAACAGAACTGAAACACTTCAATAAATGGACTGAACTATTTTTACACACTATCACCAGTGGAAAACTCAGGCTGGAAAACACTGCACAATGGCTGTTTTGTGCGGCCTGTTCTCATTACAGCCTAGAAATGAGCAGAATCTTATGCAATTTGCAGTTTCTAATAAAAGGAAAGTGAATTTGGAAGAATCAAGCCTCACTTTTAAAATCTGAACGATTTAATGACCCCCAATTGAAAGCTGGGGTTTGTTTGCTTTCTTTATACCGCTGTCCCAGCTGCAATTGCTTCAACCCTGTCTTGGGGAAATCTAGTGTTATTATGATGTTTCTAAAGGGAGCATCATGTTGCATTCACCATCTGGGAAGCAACAGGATTTCCTTCCCCTCAGGGAGGGACAGTTAATGCAAGGCCATTATCTGCTGTAGGCAGGAAATTATGCTAGAAGGGTTCACTACTTAAGCCTCCTTCTTTAAAGTCCCATTAAGAAGGCAGCAAAGTTAAGGTTTGGCCTCAAAACGACAGACTTTTAGGTATTAAGGTCTTTGAAAAATGTTCAGGCAGGACACTGTTATGTTCAACTATGCAGGAGGGGTTTTCAAAAAGCAAAGGTGTGCAGGAGCTTCGTTTCTTCAGGAACTTGGCAGAAAATTCAAGCAGAATGCAAAATTCAGACAAATGGTTCTTTCTGGGTAAGCCACAGACACTGGCACAACCTTCTAACGTTTTGTGACCTTTACTCACGTTCAGGACAATACCACGTGCCTCAGGCATGTGATTTCCTCTGAAAGACTCACTGCCAAATACAGTGCAACACCAAGGGGCAGAGATTTTGTTCTTACAATTCAAGGCATGGAATCTAATGAATATACAAACTCCTCAAAGCAAAAACTCAGGGAGAAATGTCAAGTATTCCTCTGCTCCCCACCAAGTCAGTCTGGACTCTGCAGCAACAGGAGCTGCACAGGGGATACCAAGAAACAACTGCTGTCTGCTGCCTTAGGTTCTAAAAATACTCAAACCAAAGCAAAGCCCAGCCTGAAAGAGTCCCTAAATAGAGTTAAAACCAAAACAGAACAAACCCAGGAAAGCAGAAAGTTTACCTTTAGTAAATAAAGAGAACTCTGGTTCTGGGGAGAGTGGAGAAGGTGTCTGGCATCTTCCGAACCTTTGCATAATTAATAAACCCTCTGAGAAACAGCAGAAAACCTAGATGGAAAAAACACATGTGGCCAGTTAACACAGGTGTTGCTCCTTCAGTTAGAGAGGGAGCAGTTCAACCCAGCACTACAGAGGGACATTTGTCACGGGGATGCACAACAGCTGATTAAATACAAGATTATTGGGGTTTTTTTAATCAATGACACCCTATCTTTCAGTTTCATGCAATCTCAAAACCAAACTTCCCCTTAGGCAATCACAAAACCTGACTCCAGATGAGATCCAGTCGCTTCCAAAGGAGGAAGAGAAAAAACACAACCCACTCTTCATTTAAGATACAAGAACAGATACAACATCAGTTACTATGAACACAAATGTTGCTCTCTAATTCTTCTGGATGAGAAATAGGATGCTGCCACCACGAAATGACAACAAAAGGACAGTTTTTATGTGTACCTTTAAAATAAGTAAAAGGAAGGGTACTTATGAAGGTTACGTTTCAGTTTTACATCTATATGCACATATTTTGGTAGCCAGTAAAGCCCAAACTGCACTTGACAGTTTTTAAGCATGCGTTCCCTCTTCCCCTCCAAACACTCACCTAGAACAAGGAAGACCCACCAGAGCCAGTACTGGCCATCAAAGTAACCAGGGAAATAGGTGGAGAACTGAAAAGAAACATATACACAGGTTAGAGCACATGGAAGTTCCTGAACTCAGATCTGCTCCCACCCATTTCCGCAGGAAC